CTGAGCATATGATTCAATTCAACTGCAATACATAGGGCTACACAAACCATATAATGCAATTCAACTGCAATATATGAAACTACGCTGACCGTATAATGTAGTTAATTTGCAGTATAAGAGGCTATACTGACCATATAATGCAATTCAACTGCAATGTATGGGGATACACTGACTATATAATGTAGTTAAGCTGCAATGTATGGGGCTATACTGACCATATAATGCAATTCAACTGCAATATATGAAAGTACAGTGAGCATATAATGTAGTTAATTTGCASTATATGGGGCTATACTGACCATATAATTCAATTCAACTGCAACATATGGGGCTATACTGACCATATAATTCAATTCAACTGCAATGTATGGGGTTATATTGACCATATAATGTAGTTAATTTGCAATGGCAATATATGGTATTATATTGACCATATAATGCAATTCAGTTGCAATATATGAAACTGTACTCACCATACAATGTAGTTAATTTGCAATATATGGGGCTATACCGACCATATAATGCAATTCAACTGCAATGTATGGGGCTATACTGACTATATAATTCAATTCAACTGCAATATATGGTATTATATTGACGATATAATGCAATTCAGCTGTAATATATGAAACTATACTGACCATACAATGTAGTTAATTTGCAATATATAGGGCTATACTGACCATATAATGCAATTCAACTGCAATGTATGGGGATACACTGACCATATAATGCAATTCAACTGATCTCACAGCATTGAGCCATGGCTGTTCAAGTGGTGTTAAACTGCATTAATTCTACAGTGCAGATGCACCTACAGAAGCTGACGAAGCAGATGCATTTTTGATGCTCGCTCGGTTTGCAAACTTTGAACACATGAGAAAATGGATCTTTCGAACGAGACAATGGCCGTAATGTATTATATACTGTCTTTCGGGAATCCTATGCGGCTTGATGGATCAGAACTAGGTCTCTGAATTCTTCTTGGAAGCAAGTACGCGTTCCTTCGGTTTCCCTGCGTTCGGAGGGATGCAAAATTAAGATTAAGGCCCGCCGCAGGATGTATGGCAACCCTTAAGTGGATCTGTCCAGCGTCGTCTTGCGGCGGAAGGCAGAGGCGGCTGCCTCATCTCCCAAGCTTGCCGAGATGACTACGTGATCCATGTGCCTTGGCCTCAAATGCTCCTAAAGCCCTGGATGCGGAGCGATAATCTGCTAAGCAACAGGGGTGGAGGGAAGAGCGACGGAGACGGGATTTTGACAGCTCCGTCCCTGAACATCCCATGGAACGAGAACGCTCCCATTTCAGCCAAGTCCGACTCCTCTAAGGACCATTAAAGCGGGAGCTGGACCCAAAATAAGGGGGTTAAGATACATCTACCCTCTCCCTTGATATATATATTGCATTGCTTTTACTGTAACAATAAAAACAACAACAAGCCAGTAAAGGTGGTCCCTGTGGTCATCGGCACACTGGGTGCAGTGCCTAAAGACCTTGGCCTGCACTTAAAAACAATTGGCACTGACAAAATTGCCATCTGTCAGTTGCAAACGACCACCCTGTTCGGATGTGCATGCAATATTGGTTGAAGCATGCAAAAATCCATTTGGGAGTGTGTTAACTGAAAAATGCAAAGCACGAAGGTGATTGGTTGGGCCTGACCCAGATGCTAGCTGAGCCTGGGATTTTTGGCAACAGTTACATGTTTTAAGTTTTCTGTTCAGGAGCTTGCTAGACCTATAAACCCTATTTTCCACTGGTCAGCTGCAAAAGGCCACCCTGCTTGGATCTGCATGCAGTATTTGTTGGAGCATGCAAAAATCTGTTGGGGAGTTGATTGGTTGGCCCACACCCAGAAGCTAGCCGAGCCTGGGACTTTTGGCAACAGTTACATGTTTTAAGTTTTCTGTTCAGAAGCTTGCTAGATCTATAAACCCTATTTTCCAGCTGTCAGCTTCAAAAGGCCACCCTGCTTGGATCTGCATGCAATATTTGTTGGAGCATGCAAAAATGTGTTGGGGAGTTGATTGGTTGGGCCAAAACCAGAAGCTAGCTGAGCCTGGGACTTTTGGCAACAGTTACATGTTTTAAGTTTTCTGTTCAGAAGCTTGCTAGATCTATAAACCCTATTTTCCAGCTGTCAGCTTCAAAAGGCCACCCTGCTTGGATCTGCACGCAATATTTGTTGGAGCATGCAAAAATGTGTTGGGGAGTTGATTGGTTGGGCCAAACCCAGAAGCTAGCTGAGCCTGGGACTTTTGGCAACAGTTACATGTTTTAAGTTTTCTGTTCAGAAGCTTGCTAGATCTATAAACCCTATTTTCCAGCTGTCAGCTTCAAAAGGCCACCCTGCACGGATCTGCACGCAATATTTGTTGGAGCATGCAAAAATCTGTTGGGGAATGTGTTAACTGAAAAATGCAAAGCACGAAGCTGATTGGTTGGCCCACACCCAGAAGCTAGCTGAGCCTGGAGACTTTTGGCAACAGTTACATGCTTTAAGTTTCCTGTTCAGAAGCTTGCTAGATCTATAAATCCCATTTTCCTGGTTGCCAACAGACCTCACAACCTCTGAGGATGCCTGAAATAGATGCAGGTGAAACGTCAGGAGAGTATGCTGCTGGAATGTGGCCATACAGCCCAGAAAACTCACAGTCACCCTTGCCAAGACAGTTTGTATTTTTGCTTCTTGGCTGCTGGAAGGAGATCTTTCACGTGGACACCTAAGGTCCATTTTGAATCTCTCAAAGGACATTGTGAGTCAATGCAACTGTTCTCATGATTGTATATGTTGCTCTGCATTACCTTATTCTTTACTGATCATCTGCGTGGCATATCTTTTCTCTAGCAAGACTATGTGTGGATTGGTAAAGACATGAACTACACGTGGTTTTTCATTCCCTCCCTCCTTCACTACCTCTTTCCTTCCTTTCCCTTTTTTCCTTTTCTCCTTCCTTCCTTCTCTACCTCTTTCTTTACTTCCCCCTTTTTCTTTCCCTTCCTCTTTCTCTTCTTTCTTCCTTCTCTACCTCTTTCCTTCCTTCCTTCGATTTTTGCTTCCATCCTTCTTCTCTTTTTCCTTCCCTCCCTCTTTTCTCCCATCCCCTCCTTCCTTCACTCCCTCTTTCCTTCCTTTCCTTTTTCTTTCCTTCTCTCCTTCCTTCCTTCTCTACCTCTTTCTTTCCTTCCCCCTTTTTCTTTTCCCTCTTTCTCTCCTTTCTTCCTTCTCTACCTCTTTCCTTCCTTCCTTCGCTTTTTGCTTCCATCCTTCCTTCTCTCTTTCCTTCCCTCCCTCTTTTTCTCCTTCTTTCCCTCATTCTTTCGCTCCCTCTTTCCTTCCTTTCCTTTTTTCTTTTCTTCTTTCTTTCCTTCCTTCTCTACCTCTTTCTTTTCTTCTCTTTTTCTTTCCCTTCCTCTTTCTCTCCTTTCTTCCTTCTCTACCTCTTCCCTTCCTTCCTTTACTTTTTGCTTCCATCCTTCCTATTCTTTCCATACCTCCCTTTTTTCTCCTTCTTTCCCTCCTACCTTCGCTCCCTCTTTCCTTCTTTTTTCCTTTCTTTCCTTCTTTCCTTCCTCCCTTCTCTACCTCTTTCTTTTCTTCCCTTTTTCTTTTCCCTTCCCCTGTCTCTCCTTTCTTCCTTCACTACCTTTCTTTCCTTCCTTCGCTTTTTGCTTCCATTCTTCCTTCCCTCTTTCCTTCCCTACCTTTTTTCTCCTTCTTCGTTCACTTCCTCTTTCCTCCCTTTTCTTTTTTCTTTTCTTCTCTCCTTCCTTCCATCTCTATATTTCTTTTCTTCTCCCTTTTTCTTTCCTCCCTCTTTCTCTCCTTTCTTCCTTCTCTACCTCTTCCCTTCCTTCCTTCGCTTTTTGCTTCCATCCTTCCCATTCTCTTTCCTTCCCTCCCTTTTTTCTCCTTCTTTCCCTCCTTCCTTCGCACCCTCTTTCTTTCCTTCCTTTCTTTTTTTCTTTCCTTCTCTCCTTCCTTCCTTCTCTAGAAGGAAGAAGGAGAAGGAAGAAGAGGAAGGAGGAGAAAGGAAAAGAGGAGAAGAGAGAAGGAGGAAAAGAAGAGGAAAGAGAAGAGGAAGGAGAAGACAAGAAGAGGAGAATAAGTGGAGAAGGAAGAAGAAAGAGAAAATAGGAAGAAGGAGAAGAGAAAGAAGGAAGAAGAGAAAAGGAGGAAGGAGTAGAGGAAGGAGAAGACGAGAAAGAAGGAAGAATAAGTGGAGAGGGAAGAAGAAAGAGAACAGGAAGAAGGAGAGAAGGAAAAAGGAGAAGTGGAAGAAGAGAAGAAAGAAGAGGAAGAAGATGGAGAAGGAGAAAGAAAGAAGAGGAAGAAGAAGAGGAGGAGGAGGGGAAAAGAGGAAGAAGGAAGAAGAGAAAGGAGGAAGGAGAAGAGGAGGAGAGAGAAAAAGGAAGAATAAGGAAGAGGGAAGAAGAAGAGAGAACAGGAAGAAGGAGAAAGGAGAAGAGGAAGAAGAGAAAGAAGAGAAGAGGAGAAAGAAAGAAGAAGAAAGGAAGGAGGAAAAGAAAGGAGGAAGAAGAAAAAGGAGGGAAAGAAAGAGAAAAGGAGAGATGGAGAAGGAGAAGAAAAAGGAGAAGAAGAAGAGGAGGAGGAAAAGAAGAAGAAGAAAAGGGAAGGAGAAAGAAGGAAGAAAGAGAAAGAAGGAAGAATAGAGGAAGAGGGAAGAGAAAGAGAACAGGGAGAAGGAGAGAAGGAAAAAGCAAAAGAGGAAGAAGATGGAGAAGGAGAAAGAAATAAGAGGAAGAAGAGAAGGAGGAGGAAAATAGAAAGAAGGAGAAGAAAAAGAAGGAAGAAGAAAAAAGGAGGAAGGAGAAGAGGAAGGAGAAGACGAGAAAGAAGGAAGAATATGTGGAGAAGGAAGAAGAAAGAGAACAGGAAGAAGGAGAGAAGGAAAAAGGAGAAGAGGAAGAAGATGGAGAAGGAGAAAGAAAGAAGAGGAAGAAGAGAAAAGAGAAAAACAATTACGATTCGGAAGCATTGAGGGCAATAAATTTAATGGTTGCTGACATCATACACATTTGCACCTACCAAATGCAAAAAATAAGTCATAAACAAGAGGAGATCAGGGCAGGGCAAAGGAAGCACACAATTGCACGCACATACACACACACTCACACACACAATTCTAACCCAAAATGGGGAGAGGAGAGAAATAGAAACGGCCTGAGATTCGGGGCTGGTCGGCTGGGATTGGAGACGACACATACGGTCATATGCGAGACGCATCTTCGGATGTTTACTATGCAGGGTTATTATTATTATTATTATTGTTTTCCATATTTTTCTCCGCACAACATCTGCTTCGTAATCCCTTCGTTTCGTCTCCCAACGGTGGGCGGGCTTTGCGGGTTTCCCCCCTTTGTGTCATTCCCTTACGTAAATTCTTGTGCATACAACGGCGTCAGCCCCGAAAGTCTGGGAAAAAAGAGAAAAACAAACATATTGTCGAAGGCTTTCATGGCTGGAATCACTGGGTTGTTGTAGGGTTTTTGGGGCTATATGGCCATTTTCTAGAAGCATTCTCTCCTGACATTTCGCCTGCATCTATGGCAAGCATCCTCAGAGGTTGTGAGACCTCACAACCTCTGAGGATGCTTGCCATAGATGCAGGCGAAATGTCAGGAGAGAATGCTTCTAGAATATGGCCATATAGCCCCAAAAACCCTACAACAACCCAATGTCAGACAAAGTCCTAGAAGTCCCACAACCAACAAAAAATACTGGAAGGGTTTGGTGGGCATTGATCTTGAGTTTTGGAGTTGTAGTTCACCTACATCTACAGAGCACTGTGGACTCAAACAATGATGGATCTGGACCAAACTCAGCACAAATAGTCAATATACCCAAATGTGGATTTTGGGGGAAATAGACTTTGACATTTGGCAGTTGTAGTTGCTGGGATTTATAGTTCACCCACTATCAAAGAACATTCTGAACTCCACCAATGATGGAGTTGACCCAAACTTGGCACTCAGAACTCCCATGACCGACAGAAAATACTGGAAGGGTTTGGTGGGCACTGACCTTGAGTTTTGGAGTTGTAGTTCACCTACATCCAGAGAGCACAAACAATGATGGATCTGGACCAAACTCAGCACAAATACTCAATATGCCCAAATGTGAACACTGGTGGAGTTTGGGGAAAATAGACCTTGACATTTGGGATTTATAGTTCACCCACAATCAAAGAACATTCTGAACTCCACCAATGATGGAATTGAACCAAACTTGGCACTCAGAACTCCCATGACCGACAGAAAATACTGGAAGGGTTTGATGGGCTTTGACCTTGAGTTTGGGAGTTGTAGTTCACCTACATCTGTGGACTCAAACAATGATGGATCAGGACCAAACTTGACACGAATACTCAATATGCCCAAATGTGGTGGAGTTTGGAGAAAATAGACCTTGACATTTGGGAGTTGTAGTTGCTGGGATTTATAGTTCACCTACAATCAAAGAACATTCTGATCTCCACCAACGATGGAATCGTCATGTAAATATCTGATATGCACGATGTATTTTCATTCACTGGGCCAAATTTGGCACAAATACCCAATATGCCCAAATTTGAATACTAGTGGGGCTGGGGGGAGGGACTGGTTTTATCATTTGAGAGTTGTACCTGCTGGGATTTATAGTTCATCTACAATCAAAGAGCATTCTGATCTCCACCAACGATAGAACTGAACCAATCTTGGCACACAGGACTCCCATGACCAACAGAAAACACTAGCAGGGTTTGGTGGGCATGGATCTTGAGTTTGGGAGTTGTAGTTCACCTACTCAAACAATGATGGATCAGGACCAAACTCATCACAAATACTCAATATGCCCAAATGTGAACACTGGTGGAGTTTGGGGGAAATAGACCTTGACATTTGGGAGTTGTAGTTGCTGGGATTTATAATTCACCTACAATCAAAGAACATTCCGAACTCCACCAATGACAGAATTGGGCCAAACGTTCCACACAGAACTCCCCTGCCTTGGAGGGACTTGCTGGCATGAGCCTCCCTCCAGCCTCACACGCTCTCCTTTGCCATGTGCCGAAAATGCCTGCTCTTCCCTCTAGGAAACAGCCCTCCCCTTGGATGAGAGGTCGGCCAATCACAGCAGAGGAGGGCTTTTGGTGAAAGGATTCACAGTCGGTTTCCAAAAAGGAAGAGAAGGACAGGCGGAGAGATCTTCGTCCTTCTCTGGCAAAGGGGTTCCTGAGACCATCAGAAATATATGTCTTCTGATGGTCTTTGGCGACCCTTCTGAAAATCCCTCACAATCCCCGCCTCCCAGGGAAAGGCGGAAGGAGAAGAGAAAGACGGAAGAAGAGAAAAGGAGGAAGAAGAAGAGAAAGGAGAAGACGAGAAAGAAGGAAGAGAAGAGAAGAGGAAGAGAAAGAAGAAAAGAAGGAGAAAAGGAGAAGAGAAGGGAAGGGCAGAAGAGTAGGAAGAAGAACAGTAAGGAGAAGAAAGAAGGAAGAAAAGGAAGAAGATGGAAAAGGAGAATAAAAAGGAGAAGAGTAAGAAGAAGAGGAGGAGGAAAAAGAAGAATAAGGAGAAGAGAAAGAAGGAAGAAGAGAAAAGGAGGAAGGAGAAGATGAGAAAGAAGGAATAAGGGGCAAAGGAAGAAGGAAGGGAAAAGGAGGAAGGAGAAGAGGAAGGAGAAGACGAGAAAGAAGGAATAAGTGGAGAAGGAAGAAGGAAGAGAACAGGAAGAAGGAGAGAAGCTAAAAGGAGAAGTTGAAGGAAGAAGAAGAAGATGGAGAAGGAGAAAGAAAGAAGACGAAGATGAAGGGGAGGAGGAAAAAGAAGAGAAGGAAGAAAAAGAAGAGTAAGGAGGAGAAAGAAAGAAGAAAAGGAAGAAGATGGAGAAGGAGAATAAAAAGGTGAAGAGTAAGAAGAAGTGGAGGAGGAAAAAGGAGAAGAAGGAGAAGAGAAAGAAGGAAGAAGAGAAAAGCAGGAAGGAGAAGAGGAAGGAGAAGATGAGAAAGAAAGAAGATTAAGTGGAGAAGAAAGAGGGAAGAGAACAGGAAGAAGGAGAGAAGGAAAAAGGAGAAGAGGAAGAAGAGGAGGAAGATGGAGGAGAAAGAAAGAAGAGGAAGAAGAAGAGGAGGAGGAAAAAGTAGTGGAAGAAAGAGAGAGAAAAACATAAGAGAACCTAAAGAAGAGATTAATACTTAAATTTATGATTGATCAGGATAATACAGAGTGTGTAAGAAGAAAGATAAAAGAAGTATATAACCAGAAGGATAGAGAATAGTAAGCATAAGGACCACCCAACGAAGAGTAAGAGGTGATAAAGAAAAGAAAGATAGAAAGTAAGAATATTGAGAAGTAAATAAAAAGTTGAAGAGTAAGACCAAGAGGAGGAGTACAAATAACAAGAAGTCTAAGTACCCATCAGTTACTGATCAAATAACGATTGTACGACTTCTCTTAATTTTCATCCTCTCAACTAATTCCGCATCCGTTTATCACGTCCCTCGCCTAAATCAATTCATATTCGAGAAATTAAAAATTATAATCTTACGTATCTGATTAAGAAGAGTACTCAGATGTATCAGTCGAAATATACTAATACTGCCCCATCGACATGTATAATCTCTAACAATTGACATTAATAACCGTACATCATTTAAAACGAACTATAAACTTCCTTAGCATCCTGTACCCCTTCTACTATTCCTACTAAAGGCTACAGCTTTAACATTCTACAATCCACTTAGAAACTCCAGATTAATTTATTTCTGTCATGCTTTATTTCTTCCAAATAATAATCAATAAATAATAATTATTATTATTATTATTATTATTATTATTATTATTATTATTATTATTTTGTGTCGCTTTCAGTGGCTACTGCCCAAGAACTCAAGATTGGATGATATTAAGATCCATTTGCATTCCCTACACTACTGAATGCACAGGAATCACAAATATATATCAGTTACGAACCCACAGCTCTGAGTTGCACTTTGGTAATTGAACGAGATGAAGAGCGGCCTTCTCAATCCACAGAGATGTCAAAATCATGCCCCAAATTTTGCTGGAACCAATGCTCTCCTGAGCTTGGAAATACGCTCCCAAGCTTTGGTGTGTTAGAGTTTGGAGAAAAGGAGAGCGAGGAGGAGACCGAAGGCCGGAAATGAAAGCCTGATTCGACCGCAACCGTGTCTTAAAAGGGAGATCAAAGGCCTCCGAAGGGTCCCTTGAACCTTCCTCGCCTGCCGTGTTCAATTTCACCCTTGATAGAAATGTTCGCTCGTCCGCCCGCCCATTCGCCGCGAAGCCTCGCCAACTTTAATCCAGCGTGGCGTGAACCTCGGCTTTTTTACCTTTGCTTTATGTTTTTTCTCCCTTGGGTCAAATGGCTTGCCAATTTCCTTGTCCCAGATAGACCGATTCTTGACTCCGGTCATAATTGATTTGAAGACACCTCTCACCTGCTTTGGTGTGATCTTTGAACCGTGAAAAATTGCATTTGCAACTGCTTATATACACTTGCTTTCATCGCGGAGGCATGCTTCGCTTTGAAGCATTTGCACTCTCGCATGAAGTATGCTAAGCCGGCGTAAGAAATGCCCCCTGGTTCACCATTGTAACTCTGTTGCAATGTACTTTCTGCAAAAATGTGGAATCCGTTTTCATATATATACTAGCTTGGGGACCCGGCGGTGCCCGGGTTATTAGAGAAAGTGGGTAACGGGGGTTCTGTATGTCAAGTTTGGTCTTGATCAGTCATTGGATGAGGGTCGCAGTGGTTTCAGTAAGTGAGTGAAGGTACTGCAAGTCCCATCATCCATGGTCCATCCTCCTTCAAACTGCAGCAGGATGTAGAGTGGGTCATGGGAGCTCTGTGTGCCAAGTTTGGTCTTGATCAGTTATTGGATGAGGCTCGCAGTGGTTTCAGTAAGTGAGTGAAGGTATTGCAAGTTCCATCATCCATGTTCTGTCCTCCTCCAAACTGCATCAGGATGTAGAATGTGTCATAGGGGCTCTGTGTGCCAAGTTTGGTCTTGATCAGTCATTGGATGAGGGTCGCAGTGGTTTCAGTAAGTGAGTGAAGGTACTGGAAGTCCCATCATCCATGGCCCATCCTCCTTCATACTGCGGTACGATGTAGAGTGGGTCATGGGGGCTCTGTGTGCCAAGTTTGATCTTGATCAGTCATTGGATGAAGGTTGCAGTGGTTTCAGTAAGTGAGTGAAGGTACTGCAAGTTCCATCTTCCATGGTCCATCCACCTTCAAACTGCAGCAAGATGTAGAGTGGGTCATGGAGGCTCTGTGTGCCAAGTTTGGTCTTGATCAGTCATTGGATGAGGGTCGCAGTGTTTTCAGTAAGTGAGTGAAGGTACTGGAAGTCCCATCATCCATGGTCCATCCTCCTTCAAACTGCGGTACGATGTAGAGTGGGTCATGGGGGCTCTGTATGCCAAGTTTGATCTTGATCAGTCATTGGATGAGGGTCGCAGTGGTTTCAGTAAGTGAGTAACTCCGGATGATCTCTCCCAGCAGCTTCATGTAAATGTTAAACAACATGGGGGACAGTATTGATCCCTGCGGGACCCCACAAGTCAATGGTTGTGAGGATGAGCAGGTGTCCCCCAGCAACACCTTCTGAGAGCGTCCCTCAAGGAAGGACCAGAGCCACTGCAGAACAGTACCGCCAAGTCCCATGTCCCTGAGGCGTCCCAAAAGGATACCATGATTGACAGTATTGAAGGCCACTGAGAGGTCTAGTGGAATCAACAGGGACACACTCCCCCTGTCTAGTTCCCGGCGTAGATCATCTACTAACGCAGTGGTTCTCAACCTTTCTAACACCAGGACACCTAAATATGGTTCCTCATGTTGTGGTGACCCCCAACCATAAAATTATTTTCATTGCTCCTTTATAACTGTAATTTTGCTACTGTTACAAATCGTAATGTAAATATCTGATATGAAGGATGTGTTTTCATTGTTACAAATTCAACATAATTAAAGCATCATGATTACTCAGAAAAAAAATATGGATTTGCAGTACCTTCAACCGATTCAGCGCTGACTTCCATAGACCACTGAGACCTCCACACAGAACTCCCGGATGGCGAGAGTGTGAGGCCAGGCCTCGCATGGAGGACCCCTCGCCTACCCCGCGCCCTCGTCGATGGCGAGAACGCGAGGCAGGCGAGACGGGCTTTGTGTGAGGCCAGGCCTCACGTGGAGGACCCCTCACCTGCCCTGCACCCTTGTCGATGGCGAGAATGCAAGGCAGGCGAGGCGGGCTTTGTGCGAGGCCAGGCCTCACGTGGAGGACCCCTCACCTGCCCTGCACCCTTGTCGATGGCGAGAATGCAAGGCAGGCGAGGCGGGCTTTGTGCGAGGCCAGGCCTCACGTGGAGGACCCCTCACCTGCCCTGCACCCTTGTAGATGGCGAGAACGCAAGGCAGGCGAGGCGGGCTTTGTGCGAGGCCAGGCCTCACGTGGAGGACCCCTCACCTGCCCTGCACCCTTGTCGATGGCGAGAACGCAAGGCAGGCGAGGCGGGCTTTGTGCGAAGGCCAGGCCTCACGTGGAGGACCCCTCACCTGCCCTGCACCCTTGTCGATGGCGAGAATGCAAGGCAGGCGAGGCGGGCTTTGTGCAAGGCCAGGCCTCACGTGGAGGACCCCTCACCTGCCCTGCACCCTTGTCGATGGCGAGAACGCAAGGCAGGCGAGGCGGGCTTTGTGCAAGGCCAGGCCTCACGTGGAGGACCCCTCACCTGCCCTGCACCCTTGTAGATGGCGAGAACGCAAGGCAGGCGCGGCGGGCTTTGTGTGAGGCCAGGCCTTGCACGGAGGACCCCTCGCCTGCTCTGCACCCTTGCCGATGGCGAGAACATGAGGCAGGCGAGGCGGGCTTTGTGAGGCCAGGCCTTGCACGGAGGACCCCTCGCCTGCTCTGCACCCTTGCCGATGGCGAGAACATGAGGCAGGCGAGGCGGGCTTTGTGCGAGGCCAGGCCTTGCACGGAGGACCCCTCACCTGCCCTGCACCCTTGTCGATGGCGAGAACGCAAGGCAGGCGCGGCGGGCTTTGTGTGAGGCCAGGCCTTGCACGGAGGACCCCTCGCCTGCTCTGCACCCTTGCCGATGGCGAGAACATGAGGCAGGCGAGGCGGGCTTTGTGTGAGGCCAGGCCTTGCACGGAGGACCCCTCGCCTGCTCTGCACCCTTGCCGATGGCGAGAACATGAGGCAGGCGAGGCGGGCTTTGTGCGAGGCCAGGCCTCACGTGGAGGACCCCTCACCTGCCCTGCACCCTTGTCGATGGCGAGAACGCAAGGCAGGCGAGGCGGGCTTTGTGTGAGGCCAGGCCTTGCACGGAGGACCCCTCACCTGCCCTGCACCCTTGTCGATGGCGAGAATGCAAGGCAGGCGAGGCGGGCTTTGTGCAAGGCCAGGCCTCACGTGGAGGACCCCTCACCTGCCCTGCACCCTTGTCGATGGCGAGAACGCAAGGCAGGCGCGGCGGGCTTTGTGTGAGGCCAGGCCTTGCACGGAGGACCCCTCGCCTGCTCTGCACCCTTGCCGATGGCGAGAACATGAGGCAGGCGAGGCGGGCTTTGTGCGAGGCCAGGCCTCACGTGGAGGACCCCTCACCTGCCCTGCACCCTTGTCGATGGCGAGAACGCAAGGCAGGCGAGGCGGGCTTTGTGCGAGGCCAGGCCTCACGTGGAGGACCCCTCACCTGCCCTGCACCCTTGTCGATGGCGAGAACGCAAGGCAGGCGAGGCGGGCTTTGTGTGAGGCCAGGCCTCACGTGGAGGACCCCTCACCTGCCCTGCACCCTTGTCGATGGCAAGAACGCAAGGCAGGCGAGGCAGGCTTTGTGCGAGGCCAGGCCTTGCACGGAGGACCCCTCGCCTGCCCCATGCCCTTGCCGATGGCGAGAACGTGAGGCAGGCGAGGCGGGCTTTGCGCGGGGCCAGGCCTCGTGCGAAGGAGCCCTCTCCTGGCCATTGCGACCCCTCCAAAATGGCCAGGTGACCCCTCTGGGGGTTGCGACCCCCAGGTTGAGAACCACTGTACTAAGGCGAACAAGGCTGTTTTAGTACCATGTCCCGGCCTAAAGCCAGACTGTGCCAGATCTAGATAATCCGTGTCTACCAAGAATCCCTGGAGTTGTGAGGCCACCACACGTTCCAGGACTTTGCCCAAAAAGGGGAGATTGGAAACAGGCCGATAGTTGACGAATTGAGTGGGGTCCAGTGATGGTTTCTTCAACAGCGGTTTTATTACAGCTTGTTTTAAGCTGGCTGGAATGATGCCTTCCCGAAGGGAGGCATTAACCACCACCTTCACCCACTCGGCCAATCCTCCTTTATCAGCCAGGATAGGCAGGGGTCTAGGATGCATGTGATAAGCCTCGCTTCTCCAAGGATCTTGTCCACATCCTCGAGCTGCAGCAATTGAAATGAATCCATTAAAACCGGACAAGCAGATGCTCATGCTACATCCTCAGAGACTGCCGTTAACATGGGGTTGAAGCCAGAGTGGATCAAAGCAACTTTGTCAGCAAAGAACTGAGCAAATGCTTCATAGCCAGCTGCCGAGTTGTCAGGGATCCCATCTTGAGAGATGGGATTCAACAGTCATAGAATCACAGAATCAAAGAGTTGGAAGAGACCTCATGGGCCATGCAGTCCAACCCCATTCTGCCAAGAAGCAGGAATATTGCATTCAAATCACCCCTGACAGATGGCCATCCAGCCTCTGTTTAAAAGCTTCGTTGGGTGAGTAAGTTTCATAGAATCATAGAATCAAAGACTTGGAAGAGACCTCATGGGCCATCCAATCCAACCCCCTGCCAAGAAGCCACCCAGCCTCTGTTTAAAAGCTTCCAAAGAAGGAGCCTCCACCACACTCCAGGGCAGAGAGTTCCACTGCTGAACAGCTCTCACAGTCAGGAAGTTCTTCCTCATGTTCAGATGGAATCTCCTTTCTTGTAGTTTGAAGCCATTGTTCCGTGTCCTAGTCTCCAGGGAAGCAGAAAACAAGCTTGCTCCCTCCTCCCTGTGGCTTCCTCTCACATATTTATACATGGCTATCATATCTCCTCTCAGCCTTCTCTTCTTCAGGCTAAACATGCCCAGCTCCTTAAGCCGCTCCTCATAGGGCTTGTTCTCCAGACCCTTGATCATTTTAGTCGCCCTCCTCTGGACACATTCCAGCTTGTCAATATCTCTCTTGAATTGTGGTGCCCAGAATAGGACACAATATTCCAGGTGTGGTCTAACCAAAGCAGAATAGAGCATGGGGAGCATTACTTCCCTAGATCTAGACAAAGTGACTTTATCAGTGACTTTGTCAGCAAAGAACCGAGCAAATGCTTCATAGCCAGCTGCCGAGTTGTCAGGGATCCCATCTTGAGAGATGGGATTTAACAGTCCTCTGACTACTTGAAATAGCTCTGCCGGACGGTTCTTTGCCGACGCAATATTGGCTGCAAAGAAAGATTTCTGTGCAGCTTCTATTGCCGCAGCGTATGCCTTTAAGTAGGCATTCAGTCATGCTCAATTTGATTCGCTAGTCTTTTTCCACCACACGCACTCTAGACTCCTCTTCATTTGCTTCATCTCTGCCAACTCCTCGTTGAACCAAAGAGAAGGTTTAGGTCGGCTACTCGAGAGGGGACGTTCTGGAGCAATTGTGACTACTGCCCTAGTCATCTCCCTATTCCAGAGCGAGACAAGAGCATCAACAGGATCACCTACTGAAGTGGCGGGGAACTCCCCAAGAGCCATCAGGAATCCGTCCAGATCCATAAGTCTTAATGTTATAGTTCATCCACATCCAGAGAGCACTGTGAACCCAACCAACGATGAATCTGGATCGAAATTGGCGCACAAAATGGCCTGCTTTAAATACTGGCAGAGTTTGGAGGGAATTGACCTTGTGTGTTGGGAGTTACAGTTCACCCACATCCAACCGATAATGAATCTGCATCAAATT